TCTCTCTCTCTCTCTCTCTCTCTCTCTCTCTCTCTCTCTCTCTCTCTCTCTCTCTCTCTCTCTCTCTCTCTCTCTCTCTCTCTCTCTCTCTCTCTCTCTCTCTCTCTCTCTCTCTCTCTCTCTCTCTCTCTCTCTCTCTCTCTCTCTCTCTCTCTCTCTCTCTCTCTCTCTCTCTCTCTCTCTCTCTCTCTCTCTCTCTCTCTCTCTCTCTCTCTCTCTCTCTCTCTCTCTCTCTTCTCTCTCTCTCTCTCTCTCTATCTCTCTCGCTCTCTCTTATACTTCTCTCTATCTCTCTTTAGATCTCTGTTTGTCCGTCTGTCCTCCTCTTCTCTCCTCTCTATCTCCATGCTAGCTCTCTGTTTCCGTTAATCTAACTGTCTATAACCCCCCATATTTTGATCCATCTTGAACCAATAGGAATTCAAGAACTCATTCTTTCCACGGACCATCGTGGACTGGAATGCCTGCACACAGACCGTAATCGACGCCATCTGTGTCGCGGTCGCAGCCGCGGGAGCGCCTAATTTCACCATGCCCCACCACATGCGTCATAATACGCGTATACGCGGTCGACGCAGTACACAATCAAGATCAAGATCAAGAACCCCATCTCGAAAATTAAAATACCGCATGCGTTGCTCTGCACGTTCGCAACACGGTTTTGTACATGTCACGTACGCGCGCATCGCACTGACTATAATTACTATAATAGATTTAATTAACTTTCATATTACACTGTATTTGTAACGCAAAAGTTAGATGGAGCAGCAACACGCTGCAGTTTACTTAGATCATAGGTCATGGTTAGATCAGACCGCCCGCGCGTGCACGAAATGTATGCGACATATTTTCGGCAATATTCTATTCTCGATTCTCAGACGAACTTGTTTCAAAATAATAAGATCATAATATTACTTGTGCTTTATATTTTATTATATATATATATATATATATATATCAAACACATGTAATGAAGTTTGTAGGGCCTACTATTTTTAGGGTTTGAGTCTTGAGAGCGTCGTGATTCGCGCGATGCCGTTGATGCGCGCGTTGGATGTTATTTTCGAGCGCGTTTGATGCGCGCGATGCCGTGGTTGTCAAACAGAGACGGGCGAGGCAAGTGGTAGATATACTGTGCGTGAGGTAATTTTAACACGTCGTGGTAATCAGTATTAATCATGCAGTTAAAAGAGGTTGTAATAGTTATCGTAATGCAGTACTAGTCATACACAGTATGGTAGATTTTGGTATAAAGAGTGCATTTGAATTCAAAAACATCTGTATTGAAACGAAAGATGGCGCTAAGAACTCGAACAAGAGAACAATTTACCGACAACAGGTCGGAAAGAAAGAGATTTTCTGTCTGGAAGTTTCTTCCAGGTTAAAGGAAAATACCCGGTACGAAGTGCCTTTACAATGCCAACGTCGCCGGAGCCGACAGAGGAAGAATTAGAGAACGATGAGGAAGCGGAAACAGCCCCAGAAGAGGTGCGTTAGTTATTACTATTATTATTATTATTTTAGTAAGCAGGTTGCATTACAATACATTACGGTCATTAGTTTCCGGCGTCCGTGAATGTTATTTTATGCATATTAACCTGTCGATTATGTTTAATAACGATTAATTTTATAGTAACATTGAGGTGAACTAAACACACAAAGCATGGTATGATGGTTCCAAAAGGCATGCAACACATCGACTAGCGTTTGTTAGATCATGTGGTAGTGCACAGAGCGTGCAGCAGGAAATCATAACAATTGGGCCCCCCCCCCATACATGTTGTAATTTGTAATTTGTGCATTCAGTAGGTAGTCTAGACAACCACGTAGCCGATTAAACGTAAATATGGATATGACGATATGACACGGACCCATCTTTCACTATTGACATATTGTGCAGTGCCCTGTGTCATCAATGTATGCATATTTACATGCAAAGTGGATAAAACTATGTAACTGATGTGCTTTACTTGCTTACTCAGCGACAATAGTGCCACAATTCATAATGGTCGGAGATGTTATTATGTTTAAAGTGATCAGGTCGTGTCTAACTAATAATAATATTTGAATTGATAAACGAAAAATCTTCATTTCGTGTCTGCATGTCACCTTGATTAAGCTAACGTCAATTTTCAGAGCGGATATCATCATTTCTTTTTACAGGCATTTTCACATTATATATTTTGCAATGTTTTTTTTGTGTTTTTTGGCTGAAGCTAAGTCATGACAAGGAAATTGTATCTCAGATTATCCGAAATGGCTGTTAGCAATTGTATTCTACTGTCTCTACTTGGAATTTTTTAAGTAAAAATTTATTTAACGAACCTAGTCGTTATTATATCTGTGGTAACATATTGCAACCAGTATTATAGAAACAAAAAACAGACCAGTTAATTAAAGTAATTATTACGAGAGTTTTCCAGAGTTTTCCCTACTTTCATGATACCTACCGTTACTGCTTGAGTATATATCAGGAGTAGATAATAGGGAAGGAGTGTGACTTCAATAAACAAGGGAAATTCGTCATTTACTAGCCTTATAATACCTACGATTTCTACGCGTAACTCATCCAACTTGAGCTCAAATCGTACACCGTACATTCGCCTAGCATCGTGCGAAATTGTTTCCTCGTAACGTATACACCCGCAATCCGGAGATACAGACTAAAACGTACGACACGATTTTCCATTCTGTTGCCAGCAAACTCGATGTGTTTTCGGTCGAAATTTAAACAAAAGGCAGCTACTAACGCTCGGCGATGCGGTGTGACTCGCTGGGAGATTGGACATCGACGCAACACTCGGCGAGATAACCTTTGACCCGGCATACAGCTACATACCGGCATACCGGCATACAGCTGGTATACCCCCCACGCACGCACGCCCACCACAATCAGCAGCAATCTCCCAGCGAGCCACACCGCATCGCCGAGCGTTAGTAGCTGCCTTTTGTTTAAATTTTGGCTGAAAACACATCGACAACAGAATGGAAAATTGTGTCGTACGTTTTAGTCTGTATCTCCGGATTGCGGGTGTATACGAGGAAACGATTTCGCACAATGCTAGGCGAATGTACTGTGTACGATTTGAGCTCAAGTTGGATGAGTTACGCGTAGTAGATCGTAGGTATTATAAGGCTAGTAAATGACGAATTTCCTTTGTTTATTGAAGTCACACTCCTTCCTTATTATCTACTCCTGGTATACATGCACTTGTTTTGAAGGTGCCATTTGTATTCCGATTCTCCGGACACGATACTATTCGGAGCTGGTATGATGTGGTCAAGTCCATTTTTCTATGCTATAACTGCATAAAATCTTAGTGTTTTTAATGTTGGTGTAATCAGTGATATTTCCGCTGTCAGGTGAGACTAAATTTAGCTATATTTTTTCGAATTGAGTGTTTCTGAGCAAAAATCTCGTAATACAGGCTTTAATTTTTAAATGGCTTTTTTTGGTAATTGTGGCTTTAGAATTACAAATTACGCCTATCGAAGTTTCTGCAGACAAGGAATAATTTGAGAGTGGCCTCATAAAACAAATGTTTGCACAAAGGCATATTCTTTGTATTCATTGTACTGCTATGTACCACATGCAGGGTCAGGATGAGGCTGAGGATGGTGAAGATGATGCAGAAACAGAGCCAGCGGAGGTAGAAGAAGATGTGGAAGAGGAGCAGGACGAGAATGAGTTTGTCGGAGAGGAGGCTGAGGCAAAGGCAGAGGCAGAGGTAGAGACAGGAGCTGAAGGGGACAGCCTAGAGCAGGAGCCCGATGGAGCGGCAGATGATGAGGAAGAGGAAGAGGAAGACGTTTGCAAAGAGAAAAAGAAGAAGAAAAAGACTGGTGAGAAGAAGAAAGGAAGAAAGAAGAAGAAGCGTAAGGTAAATGTAGGCCAGTTTTAGTAACCCTCAAAACTAATCTTGCCTGACTGCTGCCAGAATGCTATTGGTTAGCGATTCCTGTCAACAGTCATAGTACTTGAAAATAAGGTGAAGCAGTATCATTAGATGATGTTGTGTAAATATTGCGATGTACCAGAATCTAAAGAGTGGCGTTTAAAAATAGAAAATCTGAGTGATTGGTTTGTTTGAGTGGGTAGAAAGATACGATAATATTATAAAAATATACACGCATAGTAACAGGCATATCAATGGAAGTAATACTTGAATAAAAATGCACGTAATGAATTTCATAACTTGATTGTGGTTTTCCATTGGCTTTCAATATATAATTAGTGATGCATTCTTACAGGAAAAAATATTTGGCTTAAAGAAGTAGTTAATCTCCCAAGCTTTCCTAATACAAGCACAGTTGATAAGCAAAGTAAACATTGTCAAACACATATATTTTAAAACTATTTTACTTATTTACTGATGTGAAGCAGTAAAATCACAATTTTGGAGGAAAAGACACATTAGGATAACTTCACTTCTTAGAAAAACATATTGGCAGCTATGATTATTGAGTCTCGATTAACGTATGTGTATATGTGTTTGTTACTGTTTTAAGCAGGTTGAAGAAGAAGAGGAAATAGTTTCAGAGGAAGAATTTGAACAGAAGCCAAAGAAGCCCAAGAAGCAGAAGATTCCCTTGGATCCAGCAGCTATCAAAAGTTCAGCTGAACTGTGTTCTGAATTTGGAATCTCTAAGGTTAGACTTCTTGCAGTTGTTTTTTAGCAATACCTTTTAAGTGATAAAATAATAACCTTTACATAATTTATTGTTTTGCAGTATTGCAACGAAGAATTTCAGAGGTAGATCAGTTAATCAGTATTGTTTTTTAATGAAATAGTAGATCTTTCGTAATGCTGAGTCGGCCACATAATGCACTGGTCTGCATGTGCAAGTAACAGTGCTAGTAAGAATTCAACATTACGGAATCATTTTCCACAATATTGCTGTACATGTACTATCTCGTTGAATTGATAAAGTCTTAATACAAAATAGCCAGGAGTCCATTGCCAGAAACATAAATAGTTATCACATGTCTAGAACATCATAACTTTTATATGACACTTTACTTCAAAAGTAAAATGTCATAACTATTTATGGTGTGTCTGACAATGGCCCCGGCATTGCATGTACCGATATATGCAACAGGCATGTAGGAAATAGAAGGCAGCTCTACTATCTTTTTTTGTGACTGAGTAACAAACGTTTTTTGAGAGAATATCCGAATGTAATAGGTGGACCTGGAGTACACAGATGCAGACTACCAGAACCTGACCAGCTACAAGTTATTCAGTCAGAATATCCGACCAATCCTCACACAGAATCAGAAGCTGTCCTCCTCTAAGATGACGCAGCTGCTGCAGGCATACTGGCACGAGTTTATGACGCAAAATCCATACCAGGACAGGTTAGCTGGCTTAACCTTACTGCAGAGAATGCAAGCTGATCCTGGAATTGTTTTTTGAAGGAAATATTTGAATGCCACTTATCAATTGATTTCTTAGTTTCTAGACAAAAATCTCATATAATTGGTTGTTCTGTATAAAAAAGTGCATGTGCAGAATATGTACAGTAGAATATGTACAGTAGAATATGTACAGTAGAATATGTACAGTAGAATATGCATATACCCATTACGTCTTATATCATGATCAGCGTAAATATAAATTTAATTTAAAAATTTAAAATTTTACCACGTGGAATACTATGCTGAGTACATATAAAGACTCAATTAGGTACTGCTAAAATATCAGATAACACAGTCAATATACCAAGTTATATTCAAGAACCACAATCTATTACTTCCAGGTTAGAGATGGATATTGAATATGCCAAAACACCCAAGAGTAAGGTTAAGAAGCATAAAAAGAAGGCTGCTGCTGTTACTGCTGAGCACGAGGAAGAAGCAAAACCAGACGCTGAGCAGGAAGAGAACAGGTAGGAAAGTTTCAACTAGGTACCTGTGAAGCATAATGGAGGCAGTGTAATATGCTGCCTGGTGTGTGTGTGTGTGTGTGTGCGTGCGTGCGTGCGTGCGTGCGTGCGCGTGTGTGTGAATGCATGCATAGCTCCGTATGTCTGTTTACCTGTCTAGACAGTGTAACAAAATCTATCTACAGCCATATTATGTAAGTAAGCTTTAGCATTCAAACTCTGCTCTGCCCACATATATTGCTACATAATTTATAAGTATGACAGATTTCGTCTGCCTGTATATATGAATTTACTTGCGTGTGCAGATGTACCTGCTAGGCAGATCAATCTATATGAAACCTGCTTCTAAATTTAAACTCGTTTAAAAACCGTTGCTGAGACATGTGATGCGTTGCTCTGGGCACTTCCCCATTAAGATCATATATCATATACGACGTTCTATGGCTGTGCCAGTGAATAGAGCCAGTTTGAATGATTGACATAGGTGTCCAGAGCTAGGGTGGAAAACATGAACATGTGTGACCTGGTTAGAAACAAAATCCATCATTTTATTGTACTGAGAGATTTTCTGTGAAGGAAGAAACTAGGCACAGTCATATCACTGTGGGCTGTGAGAATTATTTTGGAATGGCTAGTTATTGTGACAGTAGCAGTCCTTACTATAATCATCGTACTGTAATCATCCTAGTATAATCATCCGTAAAGAATTATAAACTGGCACACAAAATTAGGGCTGATTGTAGGGGGAAAAGGATAGAGATTTAATTGCTACTCATAGAATTTATTACTGGATTATGGCTTTTCATTATTCATGTAATTGATATTCTCATTTGTGCATTAATAAATGATTGTTGATGGCATAGGATTTTCGGTAGCGTATATAAGCTCATGTATTATTTATTGGATGATTTAAATATGATTTTTGTTTAATGCAGTGTTGGCAAACTCCTTTGGGGCATCGATAATAAAAGATAATGGAAATAAGTATTCCAAGTTACTCGATCAGTTGATTAATTAGAAATTGCACAGATTTGTGCGTTTTTTTTTTATGGCTTTACGTTTCAAGCTAACTCTGCCTCTGTGTTCCATAATTCTTCAAAAATGAAATTACATGAGCTCTGTATTAATCTTGATAATTTCTTTATTGTCAGTTGTAGTATCAGTAGGTATATTATGATCATATCATAAACTGTTGCTAAATACAGTAAGTCATCTATACATGTTTGCAGTAGATGCATTCCTGAAGAATATTAATGCAAAAGTACGTTCCAAAATCTTATAAATTGAAACCTGTTTTTATCATAGACCTTATGGGTGTTTGGCTTAATGTTTTTGCCAATAAATATTTGCTTTACAGCTATATATATACAGTAATGCTTAAATGCCCTGTAAATAGTCTGTGATAAAATCAAAAATAATGTTAATTAAAACAAAATAGTGTAACTGCAAACGGTACATGATAGTACTGTACAATTTTTGATCACTTGCCAAATCATGTTATGTCAGAGCTTATAACGAAGCATGGTCTCAAGTTTTAATCGCGTATGAGCGAAATAGTGTAAACATAATTAATATACGAAGAACTTATACAGTATATGTATATAGTACATGAAGATTTCTTATATTGTGTCAGCAGATTAATAAGAAATACGTACCCCTCTCCGTTTCTGCTATTCTTTATGCAAATTGGTCGTAACCCAACCATAATTCTGAAGAAGAAGAAAAACATACCAACAGTTTACTTTTTAAACATTTTCCACTCTGAGAATCCCGTATCCTGTAGTGGGTTGTTGGAAATGGAGTTATGCAGATTTTGAATTAGCAGAGGCTTATGCCCAATGGTATTCAGCATTGCTTAGCATTTATTTCATGCATTTCATAGCATTTATTTCATGCATTTCATAGCATTTATTTCTTGCGCTTGCCATGGTATTATTATTGCCTTCCCCATTCAAGCATTGACCAATTAGTCAATCCATCAAAGTTAAGGCATCCAGGTTCCAGTTGACAGGAATGATTTGAAGCAATATGTCTGCTCCTTTTTTCATTTAAATTAATTTTTGAAATTGTATGCCTGGTAGTGAAAATCGAGCAGGTTTTCTTTTTTTTCCCTAAAGGTTTGCATTTGTGAGTGCAATTTCAGCTCTATAACCATAATAAAAACAACAATAAACAAAAATAATGTTATTTATTAGGACGTTAATGGCTTTAAAACACATGCAATCGTGTGTTTATTTCAGATTTTGATGGTGGCGGATATGGACATGGTGTTGTATTGGTTGTGTTGTTGTGTACATTTTGGTATCTGTCATGTTTGTGCAATGTGGGTGACATTTTATTTGCGGGTTTCTACTGTTATCTATCTTCTATGCAGAAAGCATGTTCTTCTATTCATTAATTTTTTCTATTTATTTTGTAAAGAAGTTGTCAGGAGAAGGTGTATTTATTTCGTTGCACGTATTTAACACCTTTCACAGATTTGCCTGTGAGGTGGTGGCACCTGTGAAAAAGACACGGAAGCCAAAGAAGAGGAAGCGAAAGAAAAATGGTGTAGCAGAGACGCATTTAGCTGAAGAGATGTTAGTTGTAAAAGATGGAGAAGCCAGCAGGTCTGTTTGCTTGTTTGGCATGAGGCCTGCTTGATAGATCTCTCCCTTGCACAAACCCCTACCGCACCCTGCCCCTGCACTCACGTGCATCAGTCTGTGCCCTACTTTCAGCATTGGGTGATAGTCCTTACCTATCCCGTGCATTCTGCACATGACACTGCACTTCCTACAAAACAGGGATGTGTTTCACGGACAGTCAGAAGCTTGGGTTGTTCTATTTCCCAGCAGCTTGCTGCATGTACATCCACCCTACCCCCCAACAACCTGCATGTACACCTTGCCTACACCATTAGCCTGCACATGCATCCACCCTACCCCACCATCCTGCAATGTACATGCACCGTACCCCACCAGCCCGCATGTACATCTATTATACTGCAGTACCTTGCATGAAAATCCACCTTACCCCACCATCCTGCATGTACATCTACCCTACCCCAGTAATCTGCATGTACACCCACCCTACCCCACCAGCCTTTACCTACACCCACCCTCTAACAACCACCACCTAAACTCACCCTACCGCAGCAGCATGTATTGCACCCAGACCCCGAAATGGCCTATATTATTTGATTTCAAAGGTTCGTGTTATTCGATTTTTATTTAAAATATTTTATTCAATTATTTTGGGTGTTGTGTTCGTTATTTTAACCAATTAAATCTTAGTTTCTATATCTTTTAATCAGTTGATTGTCATACTGGTAAGATTCATCATTTGCCACACAGACTAAGATCCAGTAATCGTATTCTAGGATGATTCGGTCGGGCAAGTACTGGTTAATTATAAGTGTGGAAAGGGGAAATATGTGGGCACACATAGCCTTGCACATTTAGGTGGAGAAGTTGGGAAGCTAGTCTGCATTGAGAGCTTGTATGATACCTATTGTGCATTTATCGTGGCTCTGTGAGTTCGCGTTTGATAACGTGCCACTCGCCGGAGTGCCCCAAAGCATTCATTCGCACGTTAACGTTGACATGCGACGCTCACTGCAGCTCACGCTAGATATTGCCGCAGCCAAAACACCTGCACTGACCCACAGGTTAACCACGTGCTGGCCCGATGGCTTGCTCAAACGCTGTCCGCTGCGTCGTCGTATGTAAATCCGCTGCTAGGCGAAACGTCGGCAAATTAATGAGACGGCATGGACGGCGGGCACGGAGTGAGCAGCTCTGTGCAGCTATGTGCAGCTGTGTGCAGCTCTGTGCAGCTATGTGCAGCTCTGTGCAGGTGGCTAATATGACTTTTGATATAAAAGAGTTGTGCTTCACGAGCGTGACAGTGTGCTACGTTGACTGGGGGGTTAGTCTGTAGTGGGTCGCTGCACGAAATGATGCGCGCGTACGCAGTACTAATCTCTAATCTATACAGCATGCATCCGCGCGCACCGCCAGTAGTTGCACGGTGCGGTGAAAAAGGCACTATTGATTGATAACAAAATTTTATTGATTGAAAATGGAGCCCGTTCTCTGAATAATGTATGCGCCACTGTGACATTAATACGCTGATGCGGAGTGAGTTTGTCGTCGCAGTAATGGGGGGGGGGAAATGTTCCGTCTGCACGCTGATTCATTGTAGAGAGGGTCTGTGCATATTGTCACTGAATTTGCTCTAGTAAATGTCATTGTCCTCGTGCGTGGCTGACTGTATAAACGCATATTTGTCCCATCGTTTGCTGCCTGTGTGTACATTGTGTGTTTAACGAGAATATTCGTCTGTATCTAGTGTCATGGCTTCCCATCACATCATACATTGATAATTATTGCATTTTTTGTATCCCCCGCGACGAAGTCGGCGGGGATACTATGGTTTCATGTCTCCCCAGCCGCCGCCGCCGCAGACAATTTCCCTTCCGCTCTATAACTCGACCCCTAATTGACCTAGCGCTACCAAACTTGTATACTTACCATCTGGGAGAAGGTGAGCAAGGTACCGAAACCAGGTCACTGCGACCTTTATTGAGCCTTTACCTTGACCTTGATAATACTTATCCCCTTCTGCTCTCTAACGGCCCTATTGACCTAGCGCTAGCCAAATGGTATACTTGCACAATCTTGCGGAGAAGGTTGAGCAGGTACCAGAAACCGGTACTGCGACCTTTTATTTGACTGCATACCTTGACCTTTGATCATATTTCCTCTTCCGCTCTCTAACTCGGCCCCTAATTGACACTAGCGCCTACCAAAACTGTGGTATACTTACACACAGTTCTTGGGGAAGGTGGAGCAAGCGTACCAAAAACCAAGTCACTGCTACCGTTTAATTTGACCATTTACCTTGACCTTGATCGATATTTCTTTTCGCTCTATAACTCGGATCCTTAAATTGACCTTAGCGCTACCAAAACCAGTCACTACGACTTTATTTGACCTTTAGCCTTGACCTTGATCATATTCCTCTTCCACTCTATAACCTCGCTTACATTGACCCTAGTGCCTACCGAAACTTTGGTATACTTAACACATCTTGGGGCAGAAGGTGTGTCCGGCGTACACAACCAGGTCACTACGACCTTTAATTTGACCTTTACCTGACGCTTGATCATATTCCCCTTCGCTCTATAACTCGGCCCTAATTGCACCTTAAGTTGCTACCAACTGCTATAACTTTGCAACCGATCTTGGGAGAATGTGTGTCGCGTACCAAAACCAGGTTCACTGTGCTTTTATTTGACGCTTGATCATCTTTTCCTCTGCTCTAATAACTCCGGCGCCCAATTGACTCTAGCGCTAGCCGAAACTTGGTATACTTACACATCTTGGGGAAGCAAGTGTGTCGCGTACCGAAACCGGTCACTGCCACGCTTTATATTGACATTGCCTGACCTGTACCTTGCATCATATTTCCCTTCCGCTCTATACTCGGCTAATTGACTATGCGACCAAACTTTGATATACTTACACATCTTGGGGAGAACACGGGGGATACATGTAGTTGGCGACAACTTCCCTTTCTAGTTTACATATATAAACAAAAAATGCATGATATTATCTTAAGATTTCTTCTGCACCCTCATCCGCCATGCCATAAAAGAATAGTAACTGAGCCAGCCGCTTAACCGAATCCCTGTTTTTCACGATATCCACCGGTGACACCAGATTCCTATGCATGCTGATATCTCATCGCTATTCACTCCCTGTCTGATCGCTGCCAACCTTGCTTGCGATGAGCTCTTATTTCACAGGCGCCTGCTGTTTGCTGCTGATCAGCGGGTTGAAGCAAGGCACAACTCGAGCGTTTAATGAGCTTTTGTCTTCGCGCGATTCCGAATTTCTCGCTCCGTCGCCTCTCTCGTCTCCCTCTACTCATCGTGCGCTGCACGCATTCTGTTTGCTCAGATTGGACGACGATGCGACGGAGGGCGCCGAGGAGGAGGAGTCGGCCGCGAAGTCGAAGAAGACGAAGAAGAAGGCCGTCGCGCCGCTGAAGATCAAGCTGGGGAAGGTCGGTCGGAAGAGGAAGCGGGGCGGCAGCTCCGAGGAGGATCTGGCAGCAGACGCGAAGAGTGACGAGGAGTTTGAGCTCATGTTGCAGGTGCGAGATCTAAAAAATACGAGCGGCAGATGGAGGTACCGTAAAAAACGCGTCTGCTTTGTCACCTCGGCACCTCTACGATACCCAAGTTTTTGTGTTGCAAATTTAGCAATTATGAATGCGTATTATTTTATCATCATTTATTATTTTGTTTTATCATTTGTTTCATTTATTTATATTATTTATATTAAATAAGCAAGTATATTAAGACTATTAAGATATTAATTAGGGTATTAAATTAAGATGTTTACTCCCTCCTGACCTACACCTTTAAAGCCTATTGCGAATACAGAAGTCATACAACAGCGAACCGAATGGACTAACTTCTCCGTAGACTGTAACATGTACACCAATAATTTGTATGGCAGCTGCGTTAGTCTGACCTTATACAGTACAGGGTAAAAACAACAGTGGTAACACAGTGTGTGTAAAACAAGGTATCTCATTCAGTTCCTACCCTGTGCATTGTTGTGCTTCTCTTTTGTGCCCATATTACTGTGTTTGTGGTTTGAGGTGCATTACCATTGTGTTAAGGAGCATGACGAGTTAACCAAAGAAGCAGCCGCACAGAAACCGAAAAAGAAACGACGAGGGCGAAAGAAGAAGACAAAGATTACATCCGGTTACCAAGGCGACCCAGATGCCGATGGATACGAGGTGATTTCCTATGGATGTGTTTAGATAACTATTTCAGAAGTTTATTGCCTTTGGTATTCCTTCTCGAATTCACTCGGGTAACTGACACACTGCTCTGCAGGCACGTGTTTGTGTACCCTGCAGACTTCGCCCTGGTAGATGGATTCACACCCTACAAATAGCTCCACTCGCTAACGACTAACTAAATTTTGTTAGTAAACAAAATCGTAAATAAAAAAATAAATAGTAAATAGTAATAAGTAAGTAGTAAAATTTTTTTTTAACAAATTGTTGTCTGTCTAACTAATGTTAATAAATCGTAGTGTAAATAATAACTGTAGAAGCCATGTTTTGCTTCTTGGTTCATTCATTGTGGTTGCGTGCAGACAGAGCATCAGGACTACTGCGAGGTATGCCAGCAGGGAGGCGAGATCATCCTGTGCGACACGTGTCCGCGAGCCTATCACCTCGTCTGTCTCGATCCGGAGCTCGAGACCGCGCCCGAGGGTGAGTGCTGTACTCACGCCGCTGGATTGCTCTATAAACGACATTTCTTTTATTCCTTGTGTGTTCCACTGTTGGATTTATACGGTCAAGTCGATGTTGGCAGTTGCTGTTATGGCGTGTATGGCCTCTTTTCTTTTAATGAAAGTTATACAGTGCAATCAACTGTGTAGAACGTTACTGACACCTATCTGTAAAGTATACTTGTGGTTTTCCTTGAGCATCACTTATACAGGTTTGAGTGTATATGTTCGTTTTTTTTGGTAAGCCACACCAATATCGCTCTGATATGTGATTGCTTGCCATATGTTTTTCATTTGTTTGCTAGTCAGAACAGCACACGTCGCGTAAAATTGTGCGATTTTGCGATACTAAAAATAACAATGGAATATAAATGCGATTTTCACGGTAGAACAAGCGAAATTATTAGTTTTTTGCTCGTGAGTGAGCACGAAAAATAAAACCGTGCTACACATGCAAAAATGTCAAGATGAACAGTCATTTTCGCAGTAGAACATCGCCGTAAGCGATATGTAGTGACTAAACAGCAGACGACGGGAGGGGTTTTGACCGCGATCGTGCGTCTCGCTTGCTGCAGGCAAGTGGAGCTGCCCGCACTGCGAGGGGGAAGGCATTCACGAGCAGGAGGAGGACGAGCACATGGAGTTCTGCCGCGTGTGTAAGGACGGCGGCGAGCTACTCTGCTGCGACTGCTGCCCGTCCGCCTACCATCCACACTGCCTCAACCCTGCACTGCCGGGCATCCCCGATGGAGAGTGGCACTGCCCTAGATGCTCGTGTGAACCGCTGAAGGGTAAGTCTTTTCCATATGCTGTATTTTAGCCCACTTTGGTGGTAGAGTAACGTCATCGCTTTGGTATGTGACGACGCAAAATTGAACTCGTTATACAAAGGTATTATAAACGAATTAATACGATATTAATAACGATATTGTAACGAAATACGTTATTCGATAATAATAATTTTTATTATTAATAGTAGTAGCAGCAGTAGTTGTAGTAGCAGCAACAGCAGCAACAGCAGCAGTAGCAGTAGTTGTTATCCACAAGCAAATTCGAGGTGTTCTTGACGTGATGCTAGGCGATTTTCCTGCTGTTATTAATATACTGTCATGAAATTCATAATAACAACAACAACAATAATAATAACAATATTAAAATAATTATAATTATAATAATGTTAACAATAATAATAATAATAAAATAATAATAATAGTATAAAAAAAATTAAAAAAATTATAATAATGTTCGACGACGATCCGCAGGCAAGGTGGCGAAGATCCTGACATGGCGCTGGACGAAGCCGCCGGAGAACCTCGACGAGCTCGACCACACGCACCACCTCGACCGCGACGGCACCAAGTCGTCGGCGTCGGACGCCGACCGGCAACCCGAGTCGCAGAAGGCGCAGCGAGAGTTCTCGATCAAGTGGCTCGGCATGTCCTACTGGCACTCATCGTGGATCAGTGAGCTGCAGCTGGACGTGTTCCACCCGGCGATGTACCGCATCTACACGCGCAAGAACGACATGGACGAGCCGCCGGCGCTCGAGGACGGCAGCAGCTACGGGCAGGACAAGGAGTTCGTGAAGCACCGCGAGGCGCTCGGCAAGGCCGTCTTCGAGAACCTCGAGGAGAAGTACTACCGCTACGGCATCCGGCCCGAGTGGCTCAACCTGCACCGCATCATCAACCACAAGGTGACGCGCTCGGGCGTCACCTACTACCTCGTCAAGTGGAAGGACCTGCCGTACGACCAGGCGACGTGGGAAAGCGAGGACGTCGACATACACGGCTTCAAGAAGTCGGTCGACCAGTACTGGGAGATCCGCAACGCCGCCGAGGGCGTGCGCGACCGCGATGGCGCCCCCGCCGTCGCCGGCAAGAAGTCACGCAAGGGCAAGGGCGTCAAGCGCTCGAAGAAGGAGGACAGCCCGACGCCGAGCGACGAGAGGAAGGCCGAGGAGAAGGTGCCGACAGACCTGAAGAAGAAGCTCGTCGAGCAGCCGGACTACATCACAGCGACGCGCGGCACGCTGCACCCGTACCAGCTCGAGGGCCTCAACTGGCTGCGCTTCTCCTGGTCGCAGGGCACCGACACGATCCTCGCCGACGAAATGGGCCTCGGCAAGACGATCCAGACGATCGCCTTCCTCTACTCGCTCTACAAGGAGGGCCACTGCAGCGGGCCGTTCCTCGTCAGCGCGCCGCTCACGACCATCATCAACTGGGAGCGCGAGTTTGACTTCTGGGGGCCCGACTTCTACGTGGTGACGTACGTCGGCGACAAGGACTCGCGCGCCGTCATCCGCGAGCACGAGTTCTCGTTCGAGGACGGCGCGATCCGCGGCGGCAACAAGGCGTGCAAGATGAAGAAGGACTACCCGGTGAAGTTCCACGTGCTGCTGACGTCGTACGAGCTGATCACGATCGACCAGGCGACGCTCAGCTCTGTCGAGTGGAAGGTGTGCGTTGTCGACGAGGCGCACCGGCTGAAGAACAACCAGTCGAAGTTCTTCCGCATCCTCAACCTGTACAAGATCAACTACCGGCTGCTGCTGACCGGCACGCCACTGCAGAACAACCTCGAGGAGCTGTTCCACCTGCTGAACTTCCTCAGCCGCGAGCGCTTCAGCCAGCTGAGCGAGTTCCAGAACGAGTTTGCCGACCTGACGAAGGAGGAGCAGGTGACGAAGCTGCACGAGATGCTCGGGCCGCACATGCTGCGCCGGCTCAAGTCCGACGTGCTGCAGGGCATCCCGGGCAAGAGCGAGTTCATCGTGCGCGTCGACCTCAGCTCGCTGCAGAAGAAGTTCTACAAGTACATCCTGACGCGCAACTTTGAGGCGCTGAACTCGCGCAGCGGCGGCACGAACACGTCGCTGCTCAACATCATGATGGACCTGAAGAAGTGCTGCAACCACCCGTACCTGTTCCCGACGGCGGCCAACGAGGCGCTGCACCTGCCGAACGGCGCCTACGAGGGAAACTCGCTCATCAAGGCATCCGGCAAGCTGATGCTGCTCAGCAAGATGATGAAGAAGCTGCAGGCCGACGGCCACCGCGTGCTCATCTTCTCGCAGATGACGAAGATGCTCGACATTCTCGAGGACTACCTCGAGTTCGGGGGCTACCGCTACGAGCGCATTGACGGAGGCGTCACCGGCTCGCTGCGGCAGGAGTCAATCGACCGCTTCAACGCGCCCGGCGCGCAGCAGTTCTGCTTCCTGCTGTCGACGCGCGCCGGCGGCCTCGGCATCAACCTCGCGACCGCCGACACGGTGATCATCTACGACTCCGACTGGAACCCGCACAACGACATCCAGGCGTTCAGCCGCGCGCACCGCATCGGCCAGTCGAACAAGGTGATGATCTACCGCTTCGTGACGCGCAACTCGGTCGAGGAGCGCATCACGCAGGTCGCCAAGCGCAAGATGATGCTGACGCACCTCGTCGTGCGGCCGGGCCTCGGCGGCGGCGCGCGCACAGCCGCGATGAGCAAGAAGGAGCTCGACGACATCCTCAAGTTCGGCACGGAGGACCTGTTCAAGGACGACGACGGCAAGGACGACGAGGGCACGATCACGTACGGCGAAGACATGATCAACGAGCTGCTCGACCGCAGCCGCCAGGGCATCGAGCACAAGGTGCTCATGGCCAACGAGTACCTCAGCTCGTTCAAGGTCGCCTCGTACGTGCTGCAGCAGGCCGAGGAAGAGGAGGAGGAGGAGGAGGAGGAGCGCGAGGTGCTGAAGCAGGAGGCGGAGCAGGCCGACCCGGCGTACTGGGAGAAGCTGCTGCGGCACCACTACGAGCAGCAGCAGGAGGACATGGCGCGGCAGCTCGGCAAGGGCAAGCGCGTGCGCAAGCAGGTCAACTACAACGACGCGATGGGCGGGCAGGACGAGTCGAGCTGGCACGACAACCTCTCAGACTACAACTCGGACTTCTCCGTGCCCGGCGAGGAGGACTTTGAGGACGACGAGTACGACGGCGACAAGACGGAGGCGCGCGCGCGCAAGCGCGGCGACCGCGGTGACCGCGACGCGCGCGACCGCCCGCTGCCGCCGCTGCTCGCACGTGTCGGCGGTCAGATCGAGGTGCTCGGCTTCAACGCGCGCCAGCGCAAGGCCTTCCTCAACGCGGTGATGCGCTGGGGCATGCCGCCGCCCGACGCGTTCAACTCGCAGTGGCTCGTGCGCGACCTGCGCGGCAAGAGCGAGAAGAACTTCCGCGCGTACGTGTCGCTGTTCATGCGGCACCTGTGCGAGCCGGGCGCCGACAACAGCGACACGTTTGCGGACGGCGTGCCGCGCGAGGCGCTGTCGCGGCAGCACGTGCTCACGCGCATCGGCGTCATGTCACTCATACGCAAGAAGATCCAGGAGTTTGAGTCGATCAACGGCCCCTACAGCATGCCCGAGCTGCTGCTGCAGAAGGAGGAGGCCGAGCGGAAGGAGAAGGAGATGCTGGCACGGGCGGCCGAGCTGAAGAGAGAGGACGCGAAAGCAGAAAAGAAGGACGACGCGAAGGAAGCTGCGAAAAGCCCGGAAGAGCCCGAGGAGAAGCCTGAAGAGAAGACGAAGGAAGACAAAGAGGACAAGAGCAAGGATGAGGCAGCCAGCGAGAAGGAGCAGGAGAAGACAGAGCCCGATGAAAAAGCAGCTGAGCAGAAAGTCGACGAGAAGGAAGAGGAAGCCAAGGTCACAGGAGAGGCACCCCCAGAAGATCCTGCATCAAAAGATTCGGAGGTCGTTGAGATACAAGAGAAAGCCGAGGAGAAACCAGAGCAGGAAAAAGAGACCAACCAAAAGGATGAAGAAGAAACACAACCCCCCAGTAAATCTCCAGTTCACGAATCTTCAGCTACCGTGGAAGAGTCCTCCAAAGTAGACGAGACAGAAGAAAATCAGAAGGAGAAGGAGAAGGAGAGCGAAAATGTCGAAAAGGAGGAAGGCGAAGCCGCACCGAAGGAAACCGAAGAAGAGAAGGCGATATCTGAAGAGGAAAAGGTACCAGAAGTCGAAAACGTAAAGAAGGAGACGGACGAGGAGAAGCGAGAGGCCGCCGCCGACGCGGCGGAGCAGCCGAAGCCACCGAAGGAAGGTGACGCGAAACCGGACGTCAAGGAGGAGGAGGAGCCGAAGAAGCCGGCCGAGAAGGAGAGGAAGGACACGCGCAAGTCGGAGGAGAAGCGGCGGCGGCGCGACGAGAAGTGCAAGTTCATGTTCAACATCGCCGACGGCGGCTTCACGGAGCTGCACACGCTGTGGCAGAACGAGGAGCGCGCCGCCGTGCCGGGCCGCGAGTACGAGATCTGGCATCGCCGGCACGACTACTGGCTGCTCGCCGGCATCGTCACGTTCGGCTACGGCCGCTGGCAGGACATCCAGAACGACGCGCGCTACGCGATCATCAACGAGCCGTTCAAGATGGACGTCGGCAAGGGCAACTTCCTCGAGATCAAGAACAAGTTTCTCGCGCGGCGCTTCAAGCTGCTCGAGCAGGCGCTCGTCATCGAGGAGCAGCTGCGACGCGCCGCCTACCTCAACCTGACGCAGGACCCGAACCACCCGGCGATGGCGCTGAACGCGCGCTTCGCCGAGGTCGAGTGCCTCGCCGAGTCGCACCAGCACCTGTCGAAGGAGTCGCTCGCGGGAAACCGGCCGGCGAACGCCGTCCTGCACAAGGTGCTCAACCAGCTCGAGGAGCTGCTCAGCGACATGAAGTCGGACGTCGCGCGGCTGCCGGCGACGCTCGCGCGCATGACCCCCGTCGCGCCGCGCCTCCACATGTCCGAGCGCGCGATCCTCTCGCGCCTCGCCAACAAGGAGCCGCAGCAGGAGGCGGCGGCGGCGGCGGGCGGGGCTGCTAGCCAGCACGCGCAGCCGCCCGTCGCGCTCGGCCTTGACCTCAGAAAGACCGTCGTGGGAAGCGCGTGGACATCTTGAGGAGGGAGCGAGCGGTGGTGGCGCCACGGGACGCCGTCGCGTTTCGTAAGCGGGCGACGTTCGCTGCAGATGGGGGTGGGAGGGGGTTAATCGGCACGCGCAACTTGCAAAGTGTGCGTGCAGGGGGTGACCGTCACGCTTCGTAACCAGAATTCTGTTCCTGTGTGGGAGGCAGACGGGAACTGCGGACCCGCAGTGGTGTATGCAGTCTTGTGTTTCCTAGCGGGCTTCGGTCACCGTGGTGGATGTTGCCTCGTTTGAAATTGCCACCGTTAAAGAATATAGAACGGAGAGTGAAGCGGTCAGTGCGTGGGACCTGCCGAGAGAGAGCAGCGTAACACCGATTGTAAAAACTGTGCATGAGACATATTTCATGTTGTATTCATTACATATTGTAAACGCCATTTTTTCAGTGTTCGTATGTGTATATAATGTATGCGTTCGATTTAATATCGTGCATGCGCAAATGCACTGTTGCAGCTCGATGTGGAAGCTACACTCGCTATAGGCTAGTTCTTATTATGTTCTTTACCGCAGTATATGACTAGCCAGGTTGTTGTTGTTGGTCTGTAAGTTTCAATGTCTTCTCTCGTCACTCAAATTCTTTCGTCTTATCAATGTATAACGTCACTTTTGTATACATTATGGAGAAAGAGCCGTACGTAGAGATTTCATTTAAGTGTTACGTATCGTTAGTTGACATATTCACGTGCTATCGTGGAGCCCTATAAATTGGCCCACCACTCCTCTGTGCCACTTGGTTTACTGGGAGGTATTTGTATACCCGATGGTTTCCTATAGAGAAATATATACCCATACAAAGTATGGCGGGAGGCATCTTTAATGTGCAAATATGAGCGACTAGATTCCAGCCAGATACTGGAGCAGGTTTACATTGTGTGCCACATGTGGAGTATATGCGCAGGTTCCACACACACAGCGTTTCGCACCATGGTTTGTTGACCTGTAAGTACGCATTTACACTGACCGATGAGCAAGCAATAAACCAATTGCTAATTTAATTGCGGACATCTATGATAGTGAAACATAATTTCTCTCGGCGGAATCGAGTGTTCGATTGTTACAATTCATGAGGGCACGTTTTTACCCGATGGGTTAGCATCTAATTCTAATTCCAAAATATGGTAGAAAATCTTATCCAGATAGCAGATTTATTGAGTGGTCATTGGTACTGTTTTAAAAACAGCATAGGCCCACTCACAATATTGCGATGATTCTTATTTAAGCTGTCGCGTAAGTAGGAATAGTACTTCAATACTACTTCATTGTATTGTCGTAGTTTAGTGATGTACCCACGGTTTTCTACATACTCGTAAATTGTCATTGTTGTTGGGCTTCATCACAACTGCTGTTGAAGTGATGTATATTATTTAGTTCTTTTCTACCGGCATGCTTATTATTATTATTATTATCATTATTATTATTATATTATTATTATTATTATCTGTTGATTATTGACAGGTCCGAGTTACAAATTTATTAGCAGAGAATGCCGTAGGCAAGCAGTGGGATTGAAATGGGTTTGTGAATAGATATTTCTGTTTCGCTATAAGGGCTGGAACTATCCTTAGTTTACAGAGTAGGTGAAACCTATACATTATTACTAAGGAATTTATATGGAAAATATGCCTGTAGTAGCCAGATATATATTTAAGCTAATTCCAGAGAATATATAATCACGTTGGTTTTTTTCTGTGAACAGGCGTTTTCTGGGTGAATACCCTTTACTCTGCAATGCTTTTTGTATTTTCGGAGGGTTTTATGTAAACTATTGTTGACAAATTGTACAAATCTTGGATTATAGCTGGAAAGTCTTGGATCACAGATCATGTCTACACTGTTGAGGGAGGTGTGTAAAATGAACATATTATAATTTACACCATCCCAGATGCTATTTTGTCATCGTATAATTATGGTTTTAGTAAGTGATCGAAGGTATATTATTGAACGGTGATTTAGTTGCAGTATCAGCATGAACCACTAGTGATTCATTCGTATCAGCATGTTTATATTTTTCTGTAATTTTAACTATATTATTTTTAACGTATTTGCTTATTTGTACTCTTGTACTGTAGTGAATAAACTGTGTTAAAACGTAGTACACGTAGTTCCTCGTATCAAATAATGTAAGGTTCTTGTACAGTGATTATCTTGTATCAATAACGTTTCAGGTCGTTTCTGCCTACCATTACCCTGGTCATTGTCATGTAACGTCAGAAGGCAACTCATCAGAATTTTACACCCATTACATTCACCTTTGTTAATTTACATAACTTTCTAAATCATTATACAATTTATCTTAAAATTACCAAGGAATTTAATGAACTTGATGACCTTGTTTTCAATATTCACCAAGCTTTGCAATCACACAAAAACAAGTCAGGTAGGTGTGCTTTTTTAATTACCTGTATTGTTATACCTCAACAAACACCTGTCCTAATCATACAATACATTTTGCATTGTATCAATAACGTTTCAGGTCGTTTCTGCCTACCATTACCCAGGTCATTGTCATGTAACGTCAGAAGGCAACTCATCAGAATTTTACACACATTACATTCCCCTTTGTTAATTTACATAACTTTCTAAATCATTATACAATTTATCTTAAAATTACCAAGGAATTTAATGAACTTGATGACCTTGTTTTCAATACACCAAGCTTTGCAATCACATAAAAACAAGTCGGGTAGGTGTGCTTTTTTAATTACCTGTATTGTTATACCTCAACAAACACCTGTCCTAATCATACAATTTTGCAAAATCGAACACAAAACAAATTTTTGTAATAACTGTTCGAATAATTTCATATTAGATTGAAACTAGGTACTACTCATTTAAAATTTACCTCAAACAAAACAACTGTTGTTCTACATACTTCGGTCAGGAAGTGAACAACAATTATAAATGGGTTTTCATTTGAAGCACCGGATTTCACGTGTACGGTTTCATAGAATGGATATCATTCAAATCCTGGCTGTACCGACATTCGGTTGGCTGGAAGCTGCTTACCGATTCATACACATAGAAATAACATGCTGTAGTCACTCAGACAAATTATCACGAGATGCATCATGCAGCTTAATCGAAAAATAAAAGATGCAACCACATAGTCTGCACATATAAGCCACCTATGTGTACACACTAGTCTGCTGAAAAGTACAGTGGGCACACTTGTCTTCAACACCTTCTCACACTTCCACCTAATCTCCTCACCAATATAACGTAACATCATAGATAAGTTAAGCTCAATCATACTATGTCATGTTTACCCTCGTTCCATCTACTTCCAGATAAAGGTAACAAAACAAAAATTCATTAAATAATAGTATACATACCTGGGCTCTCTGATGCGCACTTTTGCAATACAACTTAGAACCTAATCGATATTGCATGCTTTAGGACTCGTAAGCTCTTAGTTAAAATCCATGATTGGCCTAGGCACACTACTAAGCAGAATGCTACGCAATAAAATAAAATGTATTCAGCAACAGCCAGAACATGGAATGCACCACTAGATAGAAAACTGTTTGCCGTGTGTTTAGTTTAGTAGTTAGGGAGATAGTAAAGGCTTCGAGAATGTTGCCAAACTCATAAATGAGATGCACGCAACACCGTTATTAAACCTTGCTCCTAATAAGCCTAGCGGAAGCACCATTACGCCGCGCTGCGATCGCTCCGTGCTCACCTCACGCTGAGCGCAGGAAAGTCAGCGTCAAGGCTGTGCGACGACTGATGCATCGTGACATCACGGTCGGCAAGCACCTGGCGGCAAGTGGAGCAAATGGCAAAACGCGCGCGGCTGACGTTGGGCGCTCGGCCGCCGCGCTGCGCGCTCAGGTGGCGGTTGTGTGCGGCGAGCAGCTCCTGCTGCCGCGCGATGTTTGGCAGCAGGACGAGAAGCTCCGGCACGATGTCGCGGAAGTGCACGGCGCCAAACAGCGCGACGCACTGAGCGTAGTACTCGTGCGCGGGCACGGCGCCGCGCCGGAACCCGCCCGACATCGTCTTGAACGCGTCGAAGCGCGCCGCGTCTCCGTCGAGGGCCGCGCGCACGCTCGCGATAAGCGCGTGGTTGCGCGCCGCGTAGGCGGGCGGCTGCGCGTACGCGTGCGCGCCGCCGCCGCCGCCGCAGCTCGCGAGCGTGTCGGCGCCGCCGGCCGTCACGATCAGCGCCGGCGTGCTCGTGATCGTCACCGTGCCGCCGAATCCAGGGGGCGCCGGCATCGCGGGGCGCGAGCGCGCGAACCCGGGCGGCGCGTCGCGCTTCGTCGTCGCCGCCGGCGGCGTCGTGATCGTAATCATCGCCGGAAAGTTCTCGGAGGTCGGCGACAGCTGCACGGAGATGCTGCGCGCGAAGCGGGGCCGCGCCGCCGCCGGCGGCAGCTTCGGGAAGTCGTCCTGCGAGGCGATGCTCGGCCGCGAGTCCGCGTCGTCCCCCGCGAGATTCTCCTGACTCGTCGACAGCCGCAGCTTGAGGCCCGGCGGGCGGTTCTTGCGCACGAGGCCCGCGCTGCCCGGCGGCACGGCCGCGGAGGCGTGATCCGCGCCGTGGTCGGCCGACATCCTGCGCACCTTCGTCTTGACGGAGATGGAGTTGCTGACGAGACTCTCGTTGGAGCTGTTGTGGCCGAGGCTCTCGCTGCTCGAGCTCGCGTGCCCGCCGAGCGCCCCCGCCGCCGCGGCGAAGTCCTCGAGCGAGCGCGTGCGGTGCGAGAGCAGCAGCGGCGACGGCGGCTTCTTTGTCACGGCGACGACGACGTTGTTGTTGTGCTGCGGCGCAACGGCGGAGGCGGAGGCGGAGGCGCCCCCGAGCGGCGGGAAGTCCTCCGCCTTCATGTCGAGGCTGTGCTGCTTCGTCTGCCAGCCGACCTTCGGCGGCTTGCCGCGCACGGCCGCGTTGCTCGCCGGCGGCTTGCCCCTCGTCGTCGTCGTCGGCTGCTGATGCTGCTGCTGCTGCTGCTGTGGCTGCTGCTGCTGCTGCTGGGGATGCCCGTTGTGCGTCGAGCTCGCGGCGCCACCCAACGCCGGAAACTCGTCCGCGCTGAACTTGCGCGGCGCCAGCTGCCAAGGTGCCAGCGGGAACGCGGCTTCCTTCGGAGCTCGACTGCTATTGGTCGACGACGTTGTCGTGATCCAGTCGGCCAGAGACGCAAGTCCGCCGGACGGCGCGGACGGCGCGCTCGCCGCACCGCCGGCGCCACCTAGTGCCGGAAAGTCGGGGTCGTCATCTTCCTTCACCGTGTACTTGTTGACCTTCGCCAGCCGCTTGGCGATCGTCTCGACAGCCTGCTTCTTCTTCTTCTCGAGGCTGGGGTCTTGTCTCGGCACGGGCGGGGCTGCGGCCTCCCCCCCCAGTGCGGGGAAGTCGTCGTGTTTTGGCACGTTTTTCTGATCGCTGATCGACGCGGCCAGCGCAAGTTCTATGTCTTCGGTCTCTCTGCGGGGACAAACGATTCGACGTGTTAGTACAAACGTATTTCGAAAGCGATCAATTGGAATCAATGCACAGCATAAGTGTATATACCTATATATATATATATATATATATATATATAAATTTTGAATCAAGTTGGTAAAGGTTGAAGTTCTTTCACAAAACAAATAAAAAATATGATTAAAGATTACAATTCTCTGGCTTACCATGTGAAACGATAAACATCACAAACCCAACTTACAGCATCACCACTAAAGGCAGCACATGAAATAGCACTGCGGTCATCACTAAATACATAACTACTAGCTCGGTTTAAAACTTGGACATCATTTATTCATAACTACAACTGAATAACAACAATTTGGTAACATAACTAAAGCCAAAGGTAATGTTGAAAACTACACCAGTGTTCCTCTAGGAATACATTTGGTCTGCACTCGGGACATATTTTTGAAGAAAGAAATTTCAATTTTTATTGTTTAAGCTGTCATGAGCAATGGCAGCAGTCTACCTTGCCTGGTGTCACTTCCATACTATAACGTAGTGTTCATTTATGCAAATGAAAGCGAAAGCCAAATATATGCGCTAGTGACAGATGGTGCAACTCTGTCATGTTTTTCTTATGTACACAAAGCTATTTTGTTAGAAAATTTATAGTGGTTAAGAAACACAGATCCATAACACAACGTTTCTATTCCTGCTTAGCTATTAGAAGTTTAGAGCTTGTAGTGTTGCCAAAGTGGGAAAAAAGCTTCAACAAGAAAGCGGCTATTGAAAAAAAGGCACGCAACAAAAACCTACACCGTGTGGTCTGGGAGATATCCTTTGAACTAGAACTCACTTCAAGGCACCGTGCTTCTACAGTATTTCTCAGCATAACACTTTCTATATATCCTTCACCTCAAAAACTCGGTATAACCTCAGTCTTTCTGACTGTATGGGCTACGCACACGCGCATGCTCACAGATGCGCCTACTTCAAGTTCTTTTTTCACTATGGGAAATTTTTTTAGTAATACTATGGTACTGTACAGATTATTAGCCACAGAAAGGAAACGCGGTGCAAAAAGTTTTCACTTGTTTTTTGAAAGAGAAACAGTTTTGTTTTCAAAGAAAGCCTAGGCACATGGATAAAATAGTGGTGCCAATGTTGTCTTACAATTTTATATACAAATTTGGGCTTTTGCGGGTTTGTGGCTTTTGCTTTGAGGTAATCTATGCTAATTAATGGTGGGTCGCTTGCTCAAAAAGTTGGCAGTTCCCTCGTCTAAGCAAAAAGCTGCAACATATACCTAATTAGTCCTTAACTCACTTACCTCCTCGCGTTATCTTAATGGATACGCGTGAATTACAAAAAGGATGAATTTCTTCTTCATGAAAAAAAAGACAGTGATAAACTACGGCAAAACTTTCTAATCAACCTTGAAATTAAAGTGAAAGCAGACACTACACATCAGGGATACTAAATAGGCATCAGCGGCAGGGGTTCGGCCACATCTGCTCACTTTGCTCGGTCGCTAGGCCTGTAGTTCTCCTGCCTGTTTGCGTATCGGTCCGATCGTGTGTCACTGCTCCTGCCTCTGTATGCATTCCGCGATCGCTGACCACCTCTGCCACGCGACTCCGCCCTGCTCACCTCCTCGAAATCTCCAGAGGAGAAATAAAGACAAGATACTATAGTGATGTACATTTTCTTTCCTATTATTTTTACATTTTTATTATTATTGTTATTATTATTATTATCAATATTAATCATATTTACTATTAGTACTACTAACGTTTTCTTTTTCTTGGGCCCACCGGAAACCGTTGAGTAATTGTCAAGAGTGACAGATCGACAGAACCATATAGATGTAGATGTGTAGAACACCAATATCATTAATCATAGTCCTTCATTATCTACTTCACTAATGACATTCTCGCCGTCGCGCACCCGCTCACCTCGTCCGTTCGGGCGATTGCGCGTGAACGTGAACTCGAGCTCGAGCGTGCGTGCCTGCCGCGCCTCAGCCTTCGTCATGTTCTTGCTGTGATGCCCCATGCGGTGCGCGCGCAGGTCGATGTCCGAGCGGAAGGCGCTCGTGAACTTCTCATCGATGCAGTCGCCCTCCTCGCAGAGATGGTGTTCGGCGCGGAAGTGCTCGCGCAGCACCGTGTAGTCGCTGACGAGATAAACGATGGCCGACAACGGCAGTGAGCGGCCTGTCGTTTGTTTACGGTAACGGTGCGGTCCGATATATTCGGTGCTCAGGTGGGGCGAGTATTAACAGACCACTAACCGACTTGAAAACGTAATTCATGGATACTCCAAAGCATTACTGACAGGCATCTGTAGCCAATCCTCGTTGCAATAACGCTTTCTAAAGACAATGCTTAGTGACAAGGTGCTTGTAAGGGCTGCAGCATAAATGCCGATGCCACGACTAGCTTCGACTTGTGGAAGTCTCATCAGGTTCTTCCAAGTTTTGTGGTCTCAAAAGACAATCAAAAAGTGGTGTTGCTTTCTTTATTATGTACCCATAGTTTACTTGCTGGTGGATTCGTGGGATGCATGTAGTGCGTGGCTGGGACACACGGGTAGGATGTGGGTAAGACACGGACAAGACAGGGGCGGCGACATGGCTAGGACGTGGCATGGATGTGGGCAGAATGTGGGCAGGACATGGCTGGGACCGTGGGACGGAGCCTGGATGTGGGCGGAACGTGGGCAGGACATGGCTGGGACGGGGCCTGGATGTGGGTGGAACGTGTGCGGGACATGGCTGGGACCGTGGGACGGGGCCTGGATGTGGGCGGAATGTGGGCAGGACATGGCTGGTATCAAACGTTTTTTTTTGACAAGCTTGAATGAAAAACATCACACCGACTTTAAATGATGCTAATGTAAGTTTTATTAAAATCCTTTAACTACCGTGAGTATTTTTACGAGCTATAAAAAGAAGATTGTTAGAATACTCTGTGAGCTAATAATAATTATAAATTTATAATATTAGCCAGTGGTTACCATCGCTGCGTTTTATGGCCAAGGAATACATTGCAATAACTGGCAGTATGGACAAAGTCAGTGAATGCTACCGGAAAGTCAATTATTTTTTTCAAATCTGTAAACAAGACAGATTATAAGCTTACTGGAGCGATTCCGTTTGCTTTTATGAAACAGTGTACTGCGGCAGGAAACGCATTAAACACGTTTATGTAATGACATACGATCGGCAATACATGATTTAGCTGATCTCTGATTGTGACCTATCTTAGGTTTAGCATTTGCTTCTGTCTATATCTATACATGTATACTGCAGTGGGTGGATGAACACTAGCTTCAAAGAAATTTACACCAGCTGCAGGTGCATAGCACATTAGCACCAGTGGCTAGCTGTGCCAGCATTAGTTTTACTGAATAAATAAAGTCAAGATTATAAACCTTTATGCATATATATAGACTATGTGACCTGTTCATGTAAGCAGAAGGACACTAAATGTGTATAGTAGAGAGGCGGTCCTGCCCGCCTCGCAATGGCTCACACAGTGGTTAAATATTTTTACCGACTTGACGAATTCTCATGCTGTCACATTTTTCCAAATGTTTCTTTGGAAATCGTTTACCATTTACTTTAGAAAATAGCATGTTTTCGACTTTCCCTTCCAACTTTTAAAAACATGCCAGATAGACACTGTTATTGACGGATATACAAATAGTTTGAAAATTACACCTGAGTGGTGGCGAAACAAGCACCATGGAGATTAAATAGTAATTATTACCCTAGTTAATCAATGTATTTGGTAGCAAAAAGTCCCATAAGGCCAAAACAAAATATAGGTGTGGTTACCGTTTCATGCCGAAAAAAAATAGGGTAGGTCGGTCGGGAAAACATTTTATTTTATTGAAACATTTTATTTACGAACCATGTCCGAAGGATGTGCGTTGTGCCTTTTGAAGCAGGAACTGTCCAATTCATATTACAACTTAAGTATCCACAGGTCCTAGTATGTATACTACATACTATTGCGTGCAGTGTTCGAAATTCACGTCGGCCCGTCGGCCCGTCGGCCCGCCGCCGACAGTTTCGATGCCGGGCCTACAGCTTCTTGATAAAACAGGCCCGCTGATCCTACAGTTATTTAATCACCGAAAATTTGAAACACTGAGAAACTGTTACCTGTAGAAATTGCTCACCTGTAATACTTATAGTGGCCGTCAGCTACACACACCCGCTCACCCGCTCACCTGTAATACTTATAGTGGCCGTCAGCTACACACACCCGCTCACCTGTAATACTTATAGTGGCCGTCGGCATCGCAGAAGTGACAGAAGTAGTGCTCGCGTCGCAGGTGCCTGTACAGCTCGTCATTGTCGAGGTAGCGCTCATCGCAGAACTCACACAGCGGGTGACCCTTGTAGGAGAGGTCGTCAGCGTCGCCGCAGCGCCGGTGCATAGCTAGCTGCTTGCGCGTGTACGCCTTGCGCTCGTGCGAGAACATCTGTGGAGGAGACGGCGGCAGGGAAGCGTGAGAGAGCGAATGCTCTACGGGGGCTTCGAAAGGAAGGTTCGTCAGAACACCATGAGCGGATTATCTGAGAGGAACGGCCGAATGGTGGTGTGAGACTGTTAGATGCAGTCCGCGGGGCTTCGGTTAGTTGCAGAGTGAACATGTGCCAGGAGACCACAAGTGTATAATATAGGAAGAAGAGCAGCAGATGGCGTGAGACTGCAAAAAGCAATCAACGGGGCTTCAGTTAATGTTCAGTACAACGATTACATAACCGTGGCCACCGTGGCGAGCTAATCAGAGCAGTTGTTGTGCAGGGTTTCTTATACATAGGAGGCACAGTGGCGCACAGCCGTTGTCAAATTTAACATCGCCGTTGTGAAAATGTTCCTGTATTTACTGATAAGTATACCCTGTATCTATATGCCTATAATTATATCAATACATCCTGTATTAGAATCCATCATGCACGTTTTTTTTCCAAACTGGCCATTACCTCCTTTGTCTAATTTTCCCTCAGAAGAAACCCTGTTCTGCTCTTAGCTTCATCACACTTCTATACCTGTTATACCTCACATCGAAGCATTTACAACTTTACAAATGGTACCCGCGGCGGTATTAGAATTCGATTATCCGAAGAGAAGAGTAGCAGGCGAGAATTCAGTTCATCGAGCTGTAGTAAAGGTTCCGAAAGATGTATCGCCAAATCACTACAAGTGTCACCGACGTGTGGCATAGAGCTGCTATGGCAATGGCTCGATTAAAATAATAATACTGGATCGGAAGATTCGCTGTGTATCCATATGCGTGCACGTCACTTAAACGTCAACAGTACGTGCAGAAATACGTTTGATCACGTAGTCGCTGTCGTCGCTATTTACCGCGATATCTTTGCAACGAAATGGGTTCAAAGAAGTAAGGGAGCATGCTGTGCAACTGGCTTATTTGTATGTGTAATGGAACGGCACCACTGTTTCCCCGTGTGAGAATTAAGAGCAGCTGAGCTGACACCTCATTCTTACGACCAGTTGGCTCGATTCCCGCGTGTGCTTTCTCTCAGCTGAGCCATGAAACTATTACCCTCTACCCCAGTCGTCCCTCCACCCCATATCATAACCAGCAAGGGATTAGATAAACGTGCAGATAGACACGCGTACGTAATGCTACCTTCCGCGGGCGAAACAGCGCGATCTTCGGCGAAAGTAAATAGTTTTAGTGTCTCAACGCGCGTGGCATCTGGTTTCGATACAGCGCTCAAGGTCTTACTGTACACACAGGGCTTCATGTAGCAGCCCTGGCTCCTGCGCATATCTTTCCCACTACTGGTTTATTTATAGCGGCTACATCGCTTTGTTTCCTACTGAGCTACCTAGGCCGTCACTACACATCGACTTCCACAGCGTCCAACGACGTCGTTAAAAGACAATAACAGGGTGCGAAATTAACGCGAGTCCGGAGTCAAATACTCTCTGATTTACTGTCGGACTCCCTGATTTGACATAATGCAGAAGTCCGTGTGACGCCCTGAAAATTCTGCTATACTAACTAGTTTGTTCCAGAGCACGGCCTCGCGGAATTACCGTATTTTTTATTTTACAATATCTTTAATTTTGAACTTCTGACTGCGGACTCCCTCATTTTGCCGCGGACGCCCTCTTTTTGTGGGCAGAGAGTCCCTTGGACTCCCTTGCTCAAAAGTTAATTTCTATCCCTGCAATAAGCCTGGAGGCAATCGTATTTGGCAATAAGCAACCGTTAACTCCCGTACAGCGATGTCTCTTTTGTCACACCGCAATAAAAATTCCCCAATTATAATCATAACCCTCGGACTGACTCCCTGTATAGCAATATAGAATGCCATTGTAAAACTGACTGTATTTCGGATCTACTCAAGTACTTAATCTACTACACAGTAACAACGCGTAATAACTATATGTGGTACTTCGTGTGCTCTGTCGACAGCCAGACGCTAGAAAGCGCAACGCATAGTTTATAAACATTTGTTAGTAGCACAGAAGAAACCATGTGTTTATCAGTGCTAGCAGCAAAAGTCGAGCACGGACGTATACGACGACTGCCGTTACAGGACCCCCCTAATTACGTGTCAAAAAAAGAAACGAAAGCCCAGAACTAATCTTTCATAATTACACGACGCGTAATTCGCCTAGATAATTGGAATCGTGATGACTACGATGAGCGATGGAGATGTTTTCCTCTCTCTTCGAGAGGTTACTGAATCTCCTCCCTCCCTCCCACCACCCCTTTCCCTTCTGCTCTCCGCACTCGAACTGTAGAATGTACTAAACACATTTAACCGACAAATTAAAGCCCTCACGGAACCACATGGTGGCTGCAGTGCGATGCAACAGAACATGGTAAATTAAACTTCAGCGGGGGGACTTTACATGCGTATTAAGTCGATGATATGACGCCCTGCAAGCCATTGGGGAAATGGTAACTTAGCCATTTGCTTCGCATGCCGATGCATCCAATAAATGCACCCTGTATTGCATTATTGACACACATGGGGGCAAGCATTTACAACTGAACATTGTGCATGATCAGCCTCTTGAGCCCACAGCTACATTTCGGCTATCACGTATAGCTTTCGTTTTCACACATCCCCACACACGCTTTACTGTGTGCATTACGAGAGCTGCTGCTGACTACTGCTATAAACTGAAGATCCCGCTTATATTTGGACGCAAATGGTCAACAGATGCCTGACCGGTCATTAAAGACTGCCTCGCAAAAAAGCAATCCCGCGCACATGTGTGTACCTCACTGCTGGCTGGCTTCACACGCAGTGAAAGGTTGCATAGCAGCTTCTGCACGCACAGGCACGCACCGCTGAACGTACGCATGGGCAGCATTCGCTGTGTCTTGGCGTAATCCCCCCACCGCACCCCCACCCACATCGCTCCCCTCCATCACTTATTTTTGTACAGTTAACTCTCTCAGTACAGACTACCATCGGAACCGTCCATTTAGTTCCATTTTCTGTGAAGTTCGGATTATAGGGAAGGCATCTTACATGTATCAGATGGTGTTGGGACTGGTAAAAAATGGTCTGGTTTAAAGTGAGGTTTGGGTTTGACAGCATTCGTAATTGGAGAATTGGAGGGTTGGCTGTATCTATATAGACACAGAGAGAGAGCGAGAGAGCGAGAGAGAGACAGAGGACCAGAGCAGGCAGAGGCACAGAGCGCACAGAGGCAGCAGAGGCACAGAGCAGCAGAGCGCACAGAGGGCACAGAGGCACAGAGCACAGAGCACAGAGGCAGTACAGAAGGCAGCAGAGGCACAGAGGCACAGAGGCACAGAGCACAGAGGCACAGAGCACAGAGCACAGAGGGAGAGGGAGAGGAGAAGGGAGAGGGAGAGGGAGAGGGAGAGGGAGAAGGAAGGAGCAGAGATAGGAGAGGGAAAAAGGGAGAAGGAGGAAAGGGAGAGGAAGGAGAGGGATAAGAAAAAAAAAGAGACGAAGGAAGGGAGAGGGAGAGGAAGAGAGCGGGAGAGGGAGGAGAGAGAGAGAGAGAGAGAGAGAGAGGAGAGAGAAAAGAGATAGAGAGAGAGAAGAGAGAGAGAGAGAGAGAGCTCATATATACATTTATGCATATATATTAACAGCTGGCTTCTGAATATACGATGTGTGTATGTGGGTGGATATAGTGGGCGTTACTGCAAAGTTCTACAACTCCACGCTTCTCTGCTCTACATTTACGTAAGAGGTGCACACACAGTAGCAAGAGTCCATATTATAGAATAATAGAATAATAGAATAATTTTCTATTATGGACTCTTGATAATACATAACACATAGTGCACACTCGCGCGCATGCGCCTTGGTGACTGCATGGAGTGCCGGTGGGCTCTTGATCTCATGAATGATCATCAGCTCAGCTCAACGGCACCTCATTGTAAAGTCAACACGCCCCGCGCGGGTTGCGCGAATCAGTCGCTCGGAATGCAATATACCAGGAGATGCTGTCTAGAGTATACGTGTACGTGTTAACCAACTTCCCCCCTTCTCTTCTCCCCCGCGGACTAACTCTGACGTTAAACACTTCTAGCATGCCACCAGCAGACCCGCGCTGAGATCCTTGAACTAGATTAGCACCGTCAAAATAACTCAATTACAATCTGCAACGCTGCAATGCAGGAACATAGGACATATAGGAGCAAACCACGATGCAAGGCAATCAATCTATGGACCCTGGCACACAGACACAGCGCGAGAATTCGTGTGATAACACTAGTAGCATAATAAATAGATGCAGATACACAACTCGTATTGACAGCAAATCTACGTGGCATAAAAAAAATCAGCACTTTGAGCTTCAATTGAATGCAAAAGTTCCGGAGATGTAATAATATTTGTAGTAACTTGTAACGATTCTTTAACGATTCGAAAAAACGAGGGGCAATGAGGGCAAGACCTTCTCAGCTCAAGTAAATAATAACGTTTTTGTACTTATATATATAAACGTGTTACAGCATTGGCAGGATAGAGCAGGAAGCGGCAGAAGTCTAAGCATAGTTTCTTCAAAGCTTAAGTTTAAATCACTCGAAGCTTACCTGACAGTTAGTATATATTTTAACGATACCCTGGGATGAATATATAAGAATGATTAAGATATGTGAATGATTTAAAATGGTAATAGAAGACCCTC